CTGTTTAGCAGAGAGGGAAGGCTCTGTATATGTAGCTTGTGTTCACGTCTTCAGAGTTTATTTATGTTAAATAATAATCTAAACTTTAAAAATAACAATTTCATTAAGTTTTCCTCACAGAAATGAATGAAATGTTGAGATATAGGCCTTATGTGTATAAGTTTTTAGCTTTGCAACCCCTAATGGGAAGGTTGGTTGGGAACCACTGATGTAACGTTATGTCACAGATTTTGGTGAAACTGGATTGGTGCAACAGAAGCAGACAGAGAGCGAGCTGGCGTTCCCGCTGTTAGAGTAGTAGATAGCTAATACTAGCTAATGTTAGATTGCTATGTCTTGTGTTGTTGCACTCTCGATGTTTGGCTGTTTTGGCACAATCGTCGACTCTGTATTCTTTGGCCGTAAGAAATGTAATCATGACAAATGTAGGGGTGCATCGGTCCATATTTACGACAGTGAAACTGGGGGCAACAAATAAATCTAACTCTTACATATAATGGTGTTGCTTCAAGATGGTATTACTTTTGTTTTGCTTTTTCTTTTCAATTAATTTCAGGTTACTAGGAAAACTTTTGTTCAGATCTTGTGGCCTTCACCCCTAGGTGCAGGGACACTGGAGGTCACCTTTGGGGTGAGAGCTGTGACCCACTTCAATAGTACAACATGCACACAACCTACCACGGTATTTAACTACACACACCAGTTCATCATAGTTTTGATGCATAGCAGTGAGGATACAGTCGTAACATATGTGTCTATTTGTGTGTGACTGTTGAGACTCTACTTTGCAAGCCCACACTGCAAACTCACTAATAAAATGGAGCGCTTCATGATGAGCCCACAGCTGGTGCCTGTTCTCGGCTATCCTCCTGTGACCACACACCCCTGGGTGCGGATCACCCAATGTCCACACACACACACACACACACACACACACACACACACGGGAGGACAGCCGAGAAGAAGCACTGGCTGTGGGCAAGGATCTCACAGATCTCCCTCCAGTTCTCCAGGGGGTGAACAGCCCTACGTGAGCCCGCTGGAAATACAGGATTTGTGTTAGGCTCAGCCCTGGCCCTGGTATCACAGTATCACATTAATTCCGAAAAACAGAGCAAATAAAAAAAAAATAATAATAATGTTTTCATGAAAAAGTATCGCATAATTATGACACAGTAAGTCGTTAATTCAGAAAAAAAAAACAAAAAAAACCTTTTACTATGTTTTGTCAGTTCAGGGGCTCCAATCGATGGTCAAAATGACTTACTGTTACTACTCAAGTAATATATAATTATAATCATTTTCGGAGCAAATAGCCTATTCAAATATTTTCACTGTGAGGATTTGCTGCTTTTGTATGGTTGTAAATTGAATATCTGTTGGACAAAACATGCTATTTTCTGACACTAGAAATAAAAGATTACCGTAATCAGTTAATCAGAAAAATAATCAACAGATTAATTAATGAAAGAACAATTGCAGCCCTAGTCACACATGACATGGCATTAATATAAAGCATAGGTTTAAAAGGACAGACAAAGGGCCCAGTCATTGTCAAGTCCTTTGCTGCCTTCAAGTGCTGTCAGAATTATTGTAATAGTTAGGTGCAGCTCTAGTACCACATCAAGCATAGATGTTACTGTGAAAAGGAGAGACTAAGGACTCGGGCTTTGTCAAGTCCTCCTCTGCCTTCAAGTGTTGTCAGAAATATTGAAATATTACAAGTGAAATAATGAAGTTGAACACACAGTTGAGTTGTTGGTAGAAGCCGTGCATTAATAACAAATTTTAAAATATCTTGCATGTCGTTTCCACTTTACATACAGCGACTTCAGCACAAAGCAGCTCTGTGTTGTGTCAATTCTCAAAAGAAACAAACAAACAAAAAAAACCCTACAAGACCTGTTTTTATCTCTAGCCAAATAATACTTTAAGTTTGTTTTTCCATTTTCTGGCTTCGAATGTAGCAGATTGCGAGGAGCACTTGAAGGCAGCATTCCTCTCCAGGTATAACTCATCTCCTGCCTCCAACAATAGAACTGACAATCCTAACCAGTCATAGAAAAGATATGTGGTCACATGATGGACAGGGCTGTATTAAGTGTGCTTTTTGGTTGGGAGGATGATTGAACTTGTCTTTGGATGTGAAAGAATAAGACTCGAGCTTGCTGCTAATCCCAACTCTTCCTCAGAGATATACAGGAGGTAAGACGTGAGCATGACAATGACCTCTGGGTGCATGACAGCGAAAAAAGGTCAATAACATCTTTGAAGTACAGTTGAAATACTGCATTTTTCATCAAACTTTTGTGTGTTTTTTGATTTGTTTTCCAATAACTTGTAGTGAGTTCTGCTGAATTAGATACATAAACCTCTGCTGGATCTAAAAACTAGCTGTTCCTCATACAAGGTCATGGATGCTGAATTAAATTGGCTCACATGTTGCCTAAGTAGACTCTTAAAGATTTTACGATGGCTTTTCTTAGATGTATTCTGATCTGAGCAACGCATATGCTGGTGAAGAAGGTGCTAAGCTCGCCCCTGAGACTGCCGTGTTGGTAGCATGCTTTGGGCTTTGACTTAATGCTGCTTAATGCTGAAACCAGCGGCCGCAACATTCCTGCCACTGTCAGACTGTGTGTTATTTTACTGTTTCAGCCAAACGGGGACTGACCGCATGCGTTAAAGCAAATACACGTTTAATACCCGAGCCCTGACAGCCCTCATACGCTGTGAATTCTTTCTGGGTTTCCAGTCAGTGCTTTTCATCAACCAGATGGTATTCTTCTATTTCTCCTTCTTTCTCCTCTTCACATTTGTCTTCCCTCGTCCTTTGACGTCAGCTACTCAATCTGATGACACAGAGAACAACCACACAGGGGCTCAGGCACCACAGTGTTTGAATTTGAACAGATATGTAACAGAATTTAAACAGAAGCATGACTTTGGACAGTAACCATATACAGGGAAAGTGTAAATATGGCATGCAGAGATTGAATGTGCAGCTGGCCCTTTGAAAAGGCTTGGAAAGAAAGAACAGGACTGTAGCCAGGCAGGAGGAGGAGGGAGGGTGGAACTGGGAATGTGGAGCTAATTTTCTTTATCCCAACATCACCCATTCAGCATGTATATCAAATAAGTCACTGTTCTAAGCATGTTTTTATGGTGAGGAATAGAAGCAAGACAAAGTCCTGAGAGGCATTGTTATAAAAATTTTCCCCAACCAGCAGCTGACCAAACCGCAACGACAGAAATAGCCTGTCTGAATGTGGGTCCCAGCTCATTGATTTACTGTGGACGGTGAGGTGAGCCAAACCCATTGTCTGGAGGAGTAGCCCCACACCTGTTCAAAAGCACGCTCTATTATTCTTAAAAATAGACCCTCGTTCTGTTCAGCCTACCGACACTGGTTTTTATGATCTGGTGATTTATAACCCGATGGAAAAAAAACATGGTCCAAGGGACTGTTGTGCACAATCAAATTCTGACATGTAACTGATATATATATTTATATATGAAGGACTTAATGTTACCACAGCTTCACTGAATCCATCCCTGTAACCTTGACCCCAAAACACCCCACCGTTGTTTACTTGATGAGATTTCTGATATTACATACATGTTATATCTTGTTTGTCAAATACATACAATATAGAAATGTGCAGGGAGCAGTGAGTTCCTCGAGTCTCCACTGGTTGCCTAGCAACCGCATGTTGAAAAGACTCCAAATACGAGAGTAGTATCAATCTCAGCAAGAAATTCCCATAATATCAAAAAAAGTCAAAAACAGCAGCAGAGGCCGAGATGTCCTGACTTTTAGTCCTCAAACTCCAAAAACACAGGTGTCTGTATTTCCCATAATGCAATTTTAATAGGTTCTTACATTAGAGTCTCCTTACCTGGCAAACACCCACAACTTTCAAACTCCATGTCTCAGGTGTGCAACACAGGATTTCTGTTAAATATATGACGTCATCGTGACATCATTATTTTTTTCAGACTTTAGAAAGCTCCTCCAGAGCCACGGAGGACATTATATAACTATTCTCACAGGCCGAGTGGTGCTCATGACAAGCAAACTGATCTTTAAATGAACAGAAGAGCACTTTTGAAGCCGCATTGAAATCAGATTAAACTGGAATAAGCTGTTAGGCACGAATATCAAACTAAATCACACTTGTTATGATGGACGTTTCTTGCAGTGTCTTTTGAGCACCTGGGAAATAGTTTTCCGAGTGTACACATCTAAGCCAATATGATACGCGTAGCTTGAGATGCGTCAGTTCGTCCCTGAAGGACTCGTGCAGTCCTAGTAGTGACAGTGCTGTTCAGACTCCAGTCGGCTGCCTGCAGCCTTGATCAGTGCCAAGAGGAAATGGCTGAGGATTAGGCCTGGAGCTGTTTAAAGCCCTGGGCCTCTGCTTGCAGTGCCCATGGTGGAATCATTTCAAATTCTACAATTGCTCCAATCTCACAGCGTGTAGCCAAGTTTTTTTTTTTTTTTGGTGGGTTTTGGTTTAGTTGTTTGCACAAATGATAAAAGCACCGAAAGGAGAAGAAAAGAAGAGCGGTACAAACCATCTGCCCAAGGGAAAGAAATCTCAAGGGCCTGCAAAAACATTACAGTCGATAAGATAAAGAGGAAAATATCAAGAAGACAAACAACAATGCAAATCACAGCAAGAAAAACATTAAAATGCAAAAATAAATATGATTACACTGATGCCAAGATAACTGAGTATGTGTGTGTGTGAGAGAGAGAGAGAGAGAGAGAGAGCTGCAGTAAAACTCCTTCATTATCTCAAAACAAGGACATTGATTAAAAGTGCGTCTTATGTGTGCTGAATTAAAGTGGCGATTCTTGATGTTTTGACGCATTGTCTGCTCCCCTCTTTGATAACAGGTAATTGGAATCCAAGATGTCTGAAGAACAAGTAGTTGAGGAGATGCTGTAAGTACCTTCATCACACTTTTGCAGCGTTTCTTGTGTTTCAAGTTAAATGGACAGACAAACTGAGCTGATTTCTCTTCACTTCTCTCTTTTCAGGGAGGAAGGTAAGCAAGAGTTTAAGGGCATTCGCTGTGTTTGTTCGAAAGCAAATGTCACTTTCAAGCTTCCGTTGCTAGACGCAGCTGACCCGATTATGTCTTCTCAGAGGTAGAGGTAGAAACCCAGCAAGAGGAAGGTAAAGGCTTCTGCATGGCTTCATGTGTATGTTGTCTTGTTTCCGGTGTGTCTGCTGTTGTTACAGTGTTTGCTGGTAGTGATAAAAGCCATAGCAAGGTAGCTGTGTGTGTTCTTTAATTTGCTTTTTTACATTTTTTCCTCATTGGTGTAATATAACAAATTAAAAAATGGTTTAACAATAGTGGACATGTCAGAACATACAGACATTAAGACAGGACAGAAACATCTTATCTTAACTGACTTTGAACAGTGTAGTTACAGTGAAGGTGTAGGAGTGTGGGAAGTTTATGCCAAGTACTCTCACCAGACAGCTTCTTATTAATCATTACTAATCATCATTAATTAAAGAAATAATAAAGAAGAGGGGGAAAAAAATAGGAAAAAGGGAGTGATTTGGGTAAGGCGGTGGATGAGCAGATTGTCTTTGATTGCATCTATGGTTGTGTGTTTGTGTGTATTTTCTATGCACAAAATACAGTAAAACAGTGTAAAAGTCAGTAAGTCAGAGAAAAAGTAAGAGTAGCTGAAACACTAGTGTGTGTGTGTGTGTGTGTGTGTGTGTGTGTGTGTGTGTGTGTGTGTGTGTGTGTGTGTGTGTGTGTGTGTGTGTGTGTGTGTGTGAGTGTGTGTGTGTGTGTAATTAGAGATGATTTTAATGAGGCTAGTAGTCAGGCAAAAAAAAAAAAATCTATATTTTATTTTCATAATGAGTCAAGTCTTGAGTTGGCAGCCTTTCATGCAGCCTTTATCAGACCACTGAACTATATAGACACATGAATCAAACACTGCAGTGCTTAATATTAGTTGGTCTTATTTGGTACAAAAAGTGACAGTTACACATGAAGCTGACAGATCAGTGTCCAACACTCAAAACAGACGCTCAGCACACACACTGGAGAATGTAACTAACTGACTACGTTTCCATGGAAAACTTATCCGCCATCATGAAGATCAAACCACAGGACTGGACTCTGTTTGGTTGCCACTTATTAACTCCTTGAAGTCTGGATTATTACTACAATATTGTTGCTATACATTGAGTTTAATGTTTTTTAAGTATTTTAATGCATTATTTAGTCATTATGGTATGATATATGGTAATGAGCATCAGCGGTAGAAAGTAAGTACATACTTAAATTCTGTACTTAAACAAACTACAAGTACAGAATTTTATTTGAGTGTTTCCATTCTAATATGTAAATGTGTGCTTTTACTTCACTACAGTTCAGAGGGAAATATTCACTCTTTATTGTTATTAACACATAGTTATACCATCTCCTGTATGATGCATGCATTGTTTATGTTAGCCAGGCTGTTTCACTTTGTTTCCTGTCATTGATGATTCATTATTGCCACATTAATCCTCTCAGGACCCCTCAGATTTATCTTGTGACCCTTGGGAGGGGCCAGACCCCTAGATGGGAACCACTGCACTCAACTGCTGAACACTATAGGAAGTTGTTCAAACTAGCTCCACCTTGAACAACAGTAAAATGCTGCGTACTCAGTGGTATCAGAATTAGCAATCCAATAATGTTATGGATAATTTATCAGTCACAAGGGGCTGCTTTTACTTTTGATACTTGCCAACTGATCATATTTCTGGACTTTTACTTAAGTAGGATTTAGTAAAAAAAAGATGACATAAAGTAAAAGAGAAATGGTGATGACATGTTTTCCTGTTGTTCTGTCATGTGTTGAGATTTCGCTTTGATTTGTGACATGTTACAAACAGCTCAGGGGCTCGGTTTATGATCCCAGATCATTCCCTGTTTTTAGCTTTGTTCAGAATGTCAGACACCAGCATTGGTTTCAGTTCATCCCAAGAGACAATATCACAGTGCTTAGAGTTTGACCAAATCCCAGCCTGAAGCTGTTTGCCAGAGTCACATTGATCCACTAATCCTTATTCTGTTCACTCAGACAGGGAGACACTGAAGGAAGAAAGTTTGGATGACTCTTTTTTTGTTTTAGTAAATAATGCATTCCCATTTATATTTATCTTTTCTTTACTTACACCCTTCTGGCATAGTATGTGTGTGTGTGTGTGTGTGTGTGTGTGTGTGTGTGTGTGTGTGTGTGTGTGTGTGTGTGTGTGTGTTTAGTTCCCTGTCTTCTTCTGTGACGTTTTTGGCCAACAATAACAGAATTTGGCTTCATTAATTCTTGTTATGTTCTTCTCATATAGAAGCTCCTCCACCTGAAGTCGAAGGTAATTATCTTTAAATATTTTTCTATGTGCCATTATATTTCAAACTTTGTTTTTAGAGAACATAATAATATTTATATAGAAAAGGGCTTAGCCGAAGTGTGTCACTTGATCTTATAATAGTTCTATGTGTAGTACTGCCATTATAAATGTTACGTACATACCCATTTTATATTAATAACACATAGACTCAGTAAAAAAAGAACTCACAGTACAAAAATTAAATCTGCTTTTATGTCTTACCTCTCATTTGCTTCAGCACTATTCATTTACCTACATCAATATTAGCTTTTTTATGTTCAGCATTCACTAATCCCTGTTATGTTTGGCTGCCAAGGAGCCGCCTGCTGAGATGGTATTTGATGAATTAATTCCAAAATGAGATATCTGAAAATTGTGACATCTACTCAGACAGAAATTACTGTTTGCATGCAAGTAAAACTCACTGCACTGACAATCGTTGAGATTGTAGCTCATTTGATCCATTTACTGACAGGATATTGACAAATCAGAGGTTTAAACATCTCAAGCATTTAATTTACTCTGACAGTTTTCCAAAATGTTAAAACATCTCATTCACTTTTTATCACAATTGCACAGAAAAGTAAACATATATATTGCAGTCTCATGACAATTGTAAACATGGCTTTGTAATGCATTTGAAAATGACAATGTGATGCATCTAATCATATTTCCATTATTTCACACCACCACAGAACCTCCCTCTACAGATGGTAATGCAACTTTATTATATTCTAATAAATAGTGTATGATTGTCCAGCTTCAACAAATATAATGTACATATGTGAAGTAATATGATGTCTCTTAGATGACACATGCTTAGTTTCTTTATTTTTAAGTATAATTTGCCTGAATCATTCTCCATTAATTGTAGCTACACCATGAACATTTACTGATGAGCTATTCTCTGTTTCTTGCATTGATTTCGATCGCTGTCACTGATCAACTGCCTGTTCAACGTTACCTTTACAAAGAGCCTGCAGAAGAAGGTATTGAGTTTTTCTACTGTTGTATACTATTCTAATATAATATATATATATGTGAATAAAACAAAAGTTTGCTATGAAATATGGCACATGCCTGTTTTCTTTAACTTTTAAGTATATTTTGGCTGAATCACACTCCTTGGTAACAACGTATTGTAGCTAACCCGTGCCATGAACATTCACTGATGAGCTCCTCTCCATTTCTTGCATTGATTATGATGGCTGTCGCTCAACTGCCTGTTCGCATTGCTTTACAAAGAGCCTGCAGAAGAAGGTAACATATAGTGTCTCTCTGTTTAAACTTGCGTGGTGTGACTCAATAACACTGGTTTGTGCATTTCACCTTGTTTTACTGTCATTTAGTTTGGGCAAGAAGACCTTAGTGCTGATATTTGTGGGAAACAGTAATAATGACTTTACTACTTTTTCAGTCCCCTGTTATGGATGAATTCACATTTGGTATAAATATCTTCCTATTTCATTTTTTCGTCATGCCTTTATATTTCTTCTGATAACACACTTTTAGAAAAGAACTGCCTCTGAGCTTTCATGGCTTAAAACCCCCCAGAGTGCAACCCAGTATGACAAGGCATACAGACACTGTTCAGACTTTCAATTCCTTTTTCTAACAGGCAAGAAAGTGTTTCATATCAGAAAATGTAAAGTAGATATCTGACCTGAGTGACATAGTATTTGCGAATAATAGAAAGTAAATCCATTCGTATTCTGCCAGCTGATGCACTAACGTGTCCTTATGTCCTCTGCCATAGAGTCTCCAGCTGCAGATGAAGGTACTGTAACTAACTGACGAGGCCTCATGAGGACATTTTGTGATCATTAGTTTAATGTAAATGTCTTCACTTGTCCGCTGGAGAACAACACATGCTCAGAGACACTCGGACCGCCAAAATAAAGCATGTGTTGTTTTTAAAAAACAGCTTTTTGGCGGCCGATATAAACACCCCCTTCATATTGAGTGTACCCAATTTCACATTCTGTTGCACATGCTGCTCATTTTATGACAAACGTCTGTATTCAATGTCAGGCTTAAAATAGCTACTGTTCTAACAGTAGAATCCTGTAAAGGTGTCTTTAACCACCTGATTCATTAAGAAAAAAACGCACGCAAAAGTGCCCTCTTGGATGCCCTGTGGTAGATAAAATAGTGCCCTCTATAGTGGCCCAATGTGCTAGAAAACGTGATAAAGAGCCCTCTAGGGTGCCCTTCCAGTGGAGAAAATGCTGGGCAGCTAGATTAGTTGGCCTCTCTGCCTCTAAATGGTTGAATAATTAATAGTTCCGAGTGTGTTCTTATTACAGAGGTGTAGTGGTATTTTAAATCTGAGTCACATAATGAAACAATTTGAATCATAATCAGGGTTTGGAGCTATTTCAACATAAATGCAACGCAACTTTTTGGGGCCCTTTTTATTTTTTTGCCCTTCAGACAGCCTGAGTCCATCACTGTCCAATTAGATCTTTTGTTCCAATACTTATTAACTACACAGTACATTCATCAGAGTGTGTGTTGACTGTGTTTGTCCTCTATTGTTCCATTAGCGAGGGTCATTAATGCATTAATAATCTTCACTGTTCTCGGTTTACAGGAGAGAGTCAGGGTGAGTGAGCTGTCATTTTATCTACTACAGATCAAACAGGAATAAACAATATCTTCACAGAGTAAAATTCATAACTGATGTGTCAAACTAAATAGATCAAATAAAGACAATAACTTAAAATTATGTATATAAAAATATATGTCAGTGCTACAGTAACTGTGATTATCCCTTCTTTTTATTATAATAGATGACTCCAAACCCAAACCAAAGTAAGTCTTTTGTCATGTGAATTTTAATCTATATACTATCAATTAACAACTTCATTTAATGTTCTTATTCTAACCCAGAAATTTTATTTTAGGACGTTTGCCCCGCCTATAGCTGTGCCAAAGATACCAGAGGGAGATAAAGTCGATTTTGATGTAAGTAATTGATTCAGTTTTAAGCGCCACAGAGACACAGACGCTGTAAACTTATGACTCTCTGTGGAGAGATTTGTGTTTTCATCTGTATACTGTACGTGTGTCCGCAAGTTTATAAGGACCAAATGTCTGCAGTAGTTAGACTTTGTACAGGACTTGATAAATCACTCAATGTCCTCATAAGTATGCCAATACATACGTGCGTGACTGTGGCTGCAGGACATCCACAGGAAGCGCCAGGAGAAGGATCTGACTGAGCTACAGTCTCTGATCGAGGCCCATTTCATCCAGAGGAAGAAGGACGAGCAGGAGCTCATCGCTCTCGTTAACAGGATCGTAAGTCTTCCAGGAAAACCAGATCACCGGAGCGATGCGCCACCCAGCAAACAATTACACTGTGTGTTTTTGTGTGTGTTTGTGGGCATGAATGTGCAGGAGAAGCGTCGTGCTGAGAGGGCTGAACAAGTGAGGATCCGTACTGAGCAGGAGAAGGAGAGGCAGGCTCGTGTTGCTGTGAGTTCCCTCTAATCGGCATCTCATCTTTTTCAGGACGTGACTGCACATACAATAAATAACTGACTATCTGTGGTTTCACCTTGCTTCCCAAATACAGTTAGGGTGTCGGGCGGGAGTGTATCCTGGTGGGGAATCTTCTCTGATAAATATAAACTCCTAAACAACAGAGAGCAAACAGTCTTCTCTCTGTCTTTCTTTTCCATTTCGGCTTTGATGTACTGCAAAGTACTGCAGGCCAATCTTCTTCTTTTAATATGAGTATGCTTGGTGCAGTTACATTACAAAATAGCATTGTGCAGCTTTAATTTCAGCTCAGCATAGATTTAGATCAACTTCAAGTCTTTGCCTTAGGGGGACTTTTCTCTCTATGTTGTCCGTTGCGATGAAGCTACAGAGAATCACAGGGCGCTTTATAGCATCTTTTAGCTCATTGTTTTGGTTTTTCCGGAGCTTTAAAGGTCTGGTGTGTAACATTTAGGAGGATTTATTGGCAGAAATGCAATATAATATTCATAGGTATGTTTTCATTAGTGTATAATCACCTGAAAATAAGAATAAGAATTGCTACCATAGTTTCTCCTACAAGCTTGGAGTTGGGTTGCAATATGATATACCACTTTATCCTACACACTGGTCCTTCAATGTTACAGCTAAAGAGGCAGATATTTCCCTCAGGAGTTGGTGGAGAACAAAGACAGAGAGACAAGGTGCACAGGTGGGGTGTGTGTGACTGTCTTATACAATCTGTTTCGCAGGAAGAAAAGGAGAGAAAGGAGCTGGAGGAGGCACGGAAGAAGCAGGATGATGACATCAAGAAGAAGAAGGCTCTGACAAACATGACTCAGCAATATGGTGGCGTCCAACAAAGGGTCAGTCGTCACACAGAGATCAGCACATGAAAACTGTTTACGGAATTCACTGATTTCCGATTCCGCCGTGCGAAGGATCGGCGCTATGGGTAACAACAATAACACTGTAAAATCTCCACCTGTGCGTTGTGGTTTTAAGCACTTGGGTGTTTCATTTCCACATTAATTCTTAGAAACACAAAACCATCACTGAGATTGAGTGACAGAAGATGAAGACTGTTACCATGATCTATATACAGCATGTGTGTTTGCTCTTGAATTAATAGGAAACAGGATCAGAGTTTCAGACTTTGTGGCCTCGTTGACATTTTCTTTCTTGTATTCTTTCAACACATCCTCTTTGGATTGATTCTCCTATCCAGCAAGACGGAAAGAGGGGAGCGAAGAAGCAGACGGAGAGAGAGAAGAAAAAGAAGATCTTGGCGGACAGGAGGAAGGCTCTCAACATCGACCATCTCAGTGAGGACAAAGTGAAGTAAGGAGACTGTGTTTTTACTGGTAGTCATTGCTCACAGCTCTGTAGACAGGCTAATATCCACATTTACGGTCTGATGCAGGTGATTTGTTTGTGAATAAACGTTCCATTCCTTGTATCGTAGAGTTTTATAGTTTTGACATGGCCTTTTAGTTTTCTGTTTCTGAAATACTCCTGTTTTTGATCAAAAGGGAGAAGGCCAATGAGCTGTGGCAGTGGCTGATGACTCTGGAGGCTGAGAAGTTTGACCTCAGCGAGCAACTGAAGAGACAGAAATATGATGTAAGTACTTTGCCCCGGGGCTTTCATGTGCCAATCACTCCGTGAAATGATAAAACAAAGAAATGAAAACCTTTTTTTTTTTGTTTTGTTTTTTTCCTCCAAACACACTTTTTGAAGAACTTACCTACTTTTACAACAACAGTGTACAGTTTAATCAATAACTATAGTTTGACATTCTTGGAAACACTTTTTTTTTTAAGAGTTAGATCGATACAACTCTCAGTTCTGTATGGTAGCCCAAATATGAATCTACAGCTAGCAGTTAGTTAGCTGCTTAGCTCAGCAAACACAGGAAACAAGAGGTCTGGCTCTGTCCAAGCAAGTATAACACGTTAGCTGGTGAGCTACAGGTGCTGGTAGGCCCATTTTGTTACCTTTGAATGGAGCCAGGCTAGCTTTTTCAAGTCTTTATGCTAAGCTAAACTAAGCTACTGTAGACATGAGTGTTATCAATCTTATTTTCTATCTCTCAGCAAGAAAACTCCTATATTTCACACAATGCCTTACTATTATTTGAACTTTTCTTCAAATAGGTGTTTTTTTAATAAAATGAAATGCAAATGCTCTCATGGGCCTCAGATCAACTACAATATGTTTACTACTTAACCTGATTTATTGACCATATTATTTTGGATCTCAGGATAAAATAATAATGACCAACGTTGCAAATTCATGGTATACAGCCTACAGCCCTGAAAAGCCACAGAATACGAAAGCTGAAACGGTATGTGCATTTAAGTGCAAGGTTGTCCTGAGGGCGCCTATCTAAAATGAATGTGACTTGACTTCCAGATCAATGTACTGCAGAGCCGAATCAATGAGCAGCAGAAGTTGTGAGTAACTGTTAATGAGGAGTGTGAGCCTCTTGGTTGTGGTGTAGGTTTGCAGTCCGTGTGTTGAAGGGTCACAGACTGAGCCTTGGACAGTGGAGCGGGGGAACAAAGCTGAGCGACAGTCGCAAACAGAAGGTGAAACTGGTAGCGTGTGTTGATGAAGAAGCCCGCAGAAGCTGCCACATGGTTGTGTTTAATCCAGTAAGAGAAGTACCAGAAGTCAGGTATCCTACGGAGAGTTAGATGAGAAGATCAGTACCACTCTCGTAGCTGTCTGGTAAATGTAAGGCCTTGGCGAGCAGCCACGGGTAGCTTACTTCAGCATAAAAATTAGAAACGGGGAAAGAGCAAGCCTGACTCTGTCAAGGTAACAAAATCCAGATTAAACAAACAAGATATAACAAGTATTTATGAGCTTCATGCTGCATTCATGCAATGTCAGTAAAACCTTCTGTTCATTCAGACATTATTCCTAAATGATTACCCCCACTGTTAACTTTGTAGTCATATTTTTTAAATAGCCTGAATTTGCTAATTCTATTCTAGCTAGATCAACTGTATGAGTGTGAATATTGGCTTATAACCTCCAGCTATGGTAGCTTTGCAGCCAATATCTCAGATTCTCATAGTTAGGGTCTGAACGATATGATGTGAGCGCAGCATTAGAGATGATGGAAGCCAGGTTTTGTTACCTTCAGAAAGAGTCAGACTAGCTGTTTGCCCTTGGTTCAAGTCTTTAGGCTAAGATAAATTTTCTTTCCTCCTCATGTGTCTGAAAGTCCACAAGCACAAGTTCTACAATTGTCCACAAACATATTAATGAAACAGTCTGTTTTAAAATATGATCCAAAAAAGATCAGTATCTCCAGAACGTAATTTCAGCTGTCATACTTTGTTTCCAACTTCTGACAGCTATAATTTGATCGGAATTCACATTTTTCTGTCAGAGGTGGAGAGCTCTTGCCTCATCTGTAGCTGTAGGGGACAGTTTGTCTTGTGATGACGCAAGCGCAACTGAAACACGATGATAAACATTTCACTTCTGAGATTCTGTGGCCTTTCCTTTGGATTTAGTGTAATGATCAGCTCAGACTAGAGGTGAGTCCCCAACTGCAGATTCATTTCTTTGAATGTGGGGTGAACATATCTTGCTCTGCTGAGTTCTTCTGTAGGACCACACGGTCCTGTCTTTGTCTCTGCTGGTGTCCGCCTGTGTCTGCTATTGTTCCTGTGCTTAGCCAGTCCTTCATGTTTGTCCCCCCCCACAGATCAATCAGCTCCTGGCTCGCGTTCAGGCCCACCAGAGGTAAGTAGTAGCCACCTTTGAAGCAGCCTTTGAGGTGTGGCTCATATCGGCGCTGGGAGTATTTTTGGCGTTCCTTAAAGCTCCTGATGTAGTGTCGAGGGAGTTCAGGTCCTCATTTAAAGAGCCTCGGTATTATGTTGAGAAACGTTGAGGATATAAAGTGTTTTCTTTCAAACTAATTTGGCATTTGATACAGCTTTTACTGCCCTATTCCATTCTGAAAGACAATCTTTATTTGCCCAACTCCTCTACGTGAAATACAGTTGTTAACGTAAACCCCCATATACAGATCGTCAGTGTGTTACATTATCTCTTACACCCCAAGGCCTTTTAAACTCACATCATCCTGCTTAATATAAAGTGGGAACGTGATGCAATCTTTGAGTTGTGAGCATAGAAATAGTTCTAACTTTGTGCAGAGCAGATCTCACCTTCCTATGGCTGTAAACAAGTAAAATATAGTTGGTTTTTTTTTACCTGTTTCAGACAGCCATGGAAAAGATCAACTCAGTAGCAGTCTGCCATTTTAAGGCATGCATGCAGTATTTGATTTCACCATACTGTACTGGTTTCTTACGCTGCTTAATATTTTTTATTTTATTCTCTTTTAACTGATCTAGCAAGTCTTCTCCATTCACCCATTACTCAACATCCCTCTTTACATCTTCATCCAGGCATTGTGAAAACATTGTGTTCCTGATCCACAGCTATATGTGAGCTTTGACGTTGGTAATACAGAGAAGCAGTGTGGTGGTTTGAGCGAACGTCCCAAAGTCCCACATATTCGCTAGTTGTTTTTTAAAACTGCTTTGTGTAACACTATCAGTTACAAATTTTAAAATGTAAACCGATCTGAGTCTCTTCACAAGTTATGTATGTCAACGTTTTAAAGGCAGAAAGCGGGACGTCTGTGTTGAATAAGCGGGTAAGTGTCTACAGTCTGCTTGTTAAGTCAAATATCTGGTAGAAAAAAAGTGGATGTATCAGATCTTATGGGCAAAGGTGCAAAAGAGAACAAAGGCAGCATATCAAAGGTAAGGCTGCTGCTCAGAGGACACAATCATCATTTGCCAGCTGTGTGAAATCGAGTGCTTTGCCCTTTTCTAATAGCATGACGCTCTGGTGTTTTGCCCTCTTCCATCCTTTTCATCACTTTACTCCAGTTCACTCTCTTCCATACCTAATTTCATTTTCCTAATCAATACTACAGCACACGGGGAAGTACAGAGCACGTGCACTGACGAAATGTTCCACAATCAAATTCTGTTTATATGCAGACAAGAATATGTACCGTATCCGTAGCAACAAGTATCAAAGCTTGCATCGAACATTTGTTTAAATTGCAATTTTATTTTAGCAACATTCTTGTACAGCAGCCTGTTAACAATTACAATTTGAGGACATTGGCTTGTTTTGATAAATGAAAAAAGGAATTTGTAGAAAAACATACTCGAGACAGAGTTTTGCTACTGACTAACAATTTTTCGATACTTTATTCTGAGGAATATGAGCATGTTTTTCTAAAAAGCCTTAAAGTAATATTTACTCACTGTACAAGAACTTTGTTTAAATAGTTTTTTGGAAAGATTTCTATTTAAATTGATGACCCGAAGCATTCGAACTTAAATAAATATTTTTAAATAAATTAACATATGTTAACTACAGACAAAATATCTAATATAACCATTAGACTCAGCTCATTATTATGACCTGTATTTCATCCTGCCTCTTCTCATAACAGAACTTTATTGCATTGTGTGATCAGAGCCAGTTGTGTGATGCTTTGGTCTAAATGAGCGGACAGCCAATCACAAGAATGAACGGATGAGAAGAGTTCATATTGATGAACTGAGTTTGTGTCGGATCATTTCACAATAATATGGTTTTACTTTAAATGTATTTATTCATATCATTATTTTACTTCATTATTTAAATTTGAACCATTCTGGCCTCCAATCTGCTTCGCCACGACTGTCAAATGATACCTTGACTAAATGACGGCACAACGATCGGCTTAATAAATATGAATTTGTGCATGCACACAGTAAGCCTGTTAACTGATTTTTGTTTCCACAGCGCCAAAGGAAGAGGCAAGGCCAAGGGCAGGGTGAGATAGACACAACCCCGTCAGCAGGAGTACTTCGTCTGAAAATGAGCTGCAATATTGACATTAATGTACACATTAACAATAAAACAGCACCTGCAACAGCTGGTATTAGACATAGGCAATAAAGACTTGTTTAAGTTTGAAACTAATGGCTATTTCTTCTTACTTTCTACCAATCTTCACTGTCTCTGTCAGTTTAACAGCTTTAAAGCAAATGAATCCAAATTGTTCAATTGGCAATAAAATAGCTCTATTTATTCTTTTGGGAACCATTCACAGAACCACAGTGCACCATAAATTTCACATGTAGGCAGCGATATGTAAACATGATTAAATGACGTACCGCAGCAAGCTGCAATAGTGCTCATTACGTTATCCACACACTTAAATAACACATTAATAAATAAAGATTCCGATGGCAATACAGTGTCAAGATGGACTTTCTATAAAGTACAGTGTGGTGACAACAGTGCAAAAAAATAAAGTGATGGAGTCTATACACAGGTAAGAGGACTAACATCTGCTGCGAGTCAGGACCAACACATATTTTAATTTAACGAACCAATCCCTGCTGCTATGACTTCTGAGGTTTCATGGTTTCTGACACATGACAGCTACTTCTAAATGAAAAGGTTGCAGATGAGGAGATGAATAATATTTTTTGATTTTTGTTTTTATAACCTAGAGGCAAAAACATTTGCAGAATTCTTTGTGGAGCTTCCAAAATGGCATCAAGACTTTCATTTCCACTTCACACAAAAGTCCATTTCCAGTCTGGTTAACCACAGTCTGTCAAATATGAAAAGTACTTTGCTTTTGGCTGTACTCTCGATTCCTCCAGGAGCTCTGGGTGGCAACTACAGTTTCTAAAATCTTACCTTGAACATTAGCAAACAGAGGCAGTGCATTTTCCTATACTCAACAACACCAAGCATTTTAAATAAACAACTTCAATTAACGTTCAGGTAGCTTGTGAGCTAATATGATACCTTACAGTACATTTGAGCAGGGATCAGAACAGTGCATTTTCATGGTTGCAAATCCAAACCGTCATGTTCAGACATGATGAGTGCATGGAGCGTCGGTCTTTCAGGCATGATGGAGGAGATAACGGATCAGGTTCAGCTCCCTTTGTTGGGTTTTTCACCACAGATGTGTCTCCCTGATCTCAGCGATCACCTGGCTGGCTTTCTGCAACGCCTGTCGACAAGGTTTTTAACAAAAAAAGCCCCAATGAAATGACTGGTAAAAGAACCTCGATTCATCAGGGGAAACTAGACACTGCTACAAGGTGGGAGTGTGTTACCTGTAGCATGTCGGCGGCCTCCTTGCGCCGCTGGGCCATGTCCTCCGATTCAGTCAGCAGATCGTTGAGGAGGCCAGATTTATACAGCTGGCCAACAAGCTCGCTCTGGAGGCTGTCCTTCACATGGTTGACCAGGAAGTGCATCACTGCTTTCGGCACACTGCGGCGGAGACAAGGAGAGAGAGAGGAAACGGACCGAACAGATGGTTGAGAACAAGGACGCAAGATGGCCTGGTGATTGTGTGGTCCCACAGATGGAGGGGCTCGGGTTTGACCCACAAGGTGGCCGTGCCGGTCGAAGTATTGCGCTGTTGGAGTACGCAGCTATGAGTTAAATACAATATATTTATCCCTGTTGAGCTCTGTGGAGCCCTACACTCCAACAACATGGCAAAATGCCTTTTGATAGGATGGAAAAAAGGATCAAATCACTCCTCTCAGCCCATTGGTTCCTACTGACATACATCTTTACAAGCACTTTCCAAATGTATAGTTTGATCCTTTAAGAAGGCTGTTTATTTCCTAAAGCAACTGGGAAATGTAGTTTTTGGCAAATGTTAATCAAAAGGTGTACATAGGACATTTGTTGGGGACTATTTTCAACTGTGGATTAATACACATTTGGCGCAGTAGTGTGTCTTTACAGCAGGACAACAAAAGGAGCACTATGGCACAGAGGAATACGATATATATCAGACTTTGATACATATGGGATCAATTAATATGGTTTTGTCATTCCATGGGATTTGTTGATAGTATGAAATACAGAAAATCACCAGACCTGTCCTTTAAAGAGGAGCGAGCTGGCCTACCTGTCCTGGATGTTCTTGCGGACGATGAGGAAGTAAGACTTGATGAGGCGCTCGATGACCTCACAGTCCCGCTGCTCACGTGATGACAGCTTCCTGGCGACCGGCACAGGCTTGAGGGAAGGAAAAAAAAGGGGGACGAGGTTTTAATCAACTGTTCACTGAGAAATACAGCAGTCTTCATAACGGGGCTTAATGGGCTCATGTTTAGTTACCACATCAAGTAGGTTGACAGCTCCTTTGAGGGGGCTTCCAGGTCCGGAGCTGGGGGCTTCCTCTCCTTTCTTCAGCATCCCCCTCCAGTTCCCTGTGCCGTCCTGCTCGCCCTGGGGCCCTGCTGCTGGGGCCTGTGGAGCCAGGAACACAAGAAATATGATAAATGGTCATCACAACACCCAGGCCAATAAAATTATTAGAGCAGCACCATTAGGGTTCACAGGGAAAGGATGGTTAGGGTATGTAGCATAATAACCTTTGACCGGTTCATATGCACGAGTGAAAGCAGGCATGTACACGAAAAGAGATTGTAGGAACGTTCAAAATGAAACCTAGCAATTCAATGTTTTTGTTTTGGAAATTGAGAAAAGAGCTTGGGAGCACCTCCACTGCACTCAGAGAAAGAAACTGAAATATTCATTTACAGATAAAACATGAGACACAATGCAGTAAATAAAACAAACAACAAGACTTAAGAGTCTGTTGCCATGCTAGCGGCTTCATGAGATTGTACTTCACAGCTTGAGCTTTAAGCTAAATGCAAACATCAGCATGCTAACATGCTCGAAGTGAAAATGCTAATATGCTGATGTAAAGCATGTGTAAAGTTTAACCAGCTTAGTTTAGCATATTACTAAGCTAACATTTGCCAATTAGCATTAAACACAAAGTACAGCTTAGGCTGATGAGGTTGTCATTAGCTCTGAGGGTGAGTGGTGAACTGAAATGGTGCTACATGAAAGGTTAAAGGTCCAGTGTGTAACATTTAAGATCTATTGGCAGACATGGAATTTAATATGCATGTTTTCATTAGTGTATAATAAACTGAAAATACGTTTTTTTTAACCTTAGAATTAACCTTTTATATCTACAGATGGCGCGGGTCGCCTTCCATGGGACCGACATGTTTCTACAGTAGCCAAGAAGGGACAAACCAAAGACTGGCACTAGATTTTTCGCATGTTTCTTCTTTGCGCTTGGAAGACACTACACACTGGACCTTTAACTGATTATAATTTATCTTGAGGGGAACAAGAATAGTCAGAGAGGTCGCCGAAGTAAGTGGCTTTCATCCTCTAGGGATTAAGAATGTCTGTAATAACTTTCATGGCAAATCACTGAATAGTTGTTAAGATATTTCAGTCTGGATTAAAGTGGTGGACAGAGCAACGGACTGCCTGACATTCACCTAACATATGCACTTACAGACACAAGCTTGGATAGATGGTGCAAAGTGGTAGAATTTCCACTATGACACAGTTCCTTAAAACCAAGTACAAAGAAACCCAGGGCAACTGAAGTGTTAAGAGGTTGGGAAAGGAAAGAGAGGGAGAGGAAGGCATTTTCTGTGAGACAGGTGGACCAACTTTGGGGAAACAGACTCTGCAGAAAACACAACAGTTGTTAGTGCAAGTCCACACAGGCTGAGGAAGAGCGAAAACAAGAGCATGGCATCAGCAGACAGAGATCAGAGTGCATGCCAGTAGCCCATGCCCATCCATCCATCCATCCATCCATTCATTCATCCATCCGTCCGTCCATGCTCCGCCACAGCCAGCCCCACACAGAGCCAGCAAGCTGCATACGTGCCCACCTTGGCACCGTCCATGTCTGCTCCAGACGCAGGGGGCTCGCCAGAAACCACAGTTGGGCCAGCCGGGCCTTTGCCAACAGACTAGCCGGAATATGAGAGCAGGAATGGAGAGAGATTTTTTTTTCTTAAAAACCACTGAGAAGAAATATGGAAAGACAGAGGAAAGGAGCTTGGCAGTCGAAAGTCATTTGAAGGGAGGAGAGGAGAAGGAGAGAGGAGATGTGGGATAAAATTCCTCGATGGAAACTATCCGAGGCATTCGCTTCACAGATCCTCATCCTGTAGTGCTATGAGTGATTAACACTGCACAAGTCCCCTTTATACTCGGGACCAGGCAGACTGCAACAGCATATTGGAACAGATGAGCTCCTGTTATTATATTTTAAAATAGAAATATATTTTACCTTATCCCTGGGCACTGCAGCGGGCAGCTCTCTCATCCGGTTTCTCCTTTGCTCCTACAAACACAAGAACATGGTACCAATGATGGATTTGGCAAAATTACAAAAACTTCAACACATCTGAAGAAAGTATTTAAGGAAATCTAGTGGAAACACAGGGAAAGGAGTTATCCAACTTCCTAAAGAAATGTTTTACTGACCGTTCTGCTAATTAAAATACATTTTGTCTCAATCCCTTTACAAATCCTGCCAGCAATCTTTTACATACTCAGACTAATGATTCCTAAATAATAAAAATGCAATTACCTAAAATAAAGTGTTCTATGGAAGCAAAGAAAGGCTGTAATAACTCAAATATTATAATATAAACTGAATATAATACTGAATACCTAATAAAATGTACATATCACAACTTAATATAAGAATAATTTCTTAATAGAAATTTGAATGTATAGGATTAAATATTTTACTGTTTGAATTTATGTGGTTTAAATTCCACTATTTGAAAAACTTTTCAGGTTGGTCAAATTCAACTGAAAAAAAAACTGGATTATTGGTGAATTTCAGACACCAAAATATAAGATGGAAAATTTCAATTTAAACATCCAACCTCTGTCCTATCAGGTCTCATTCTGCCAATGGTAATCCGCCTTAAATACAAGAGTTGGAATTCTTCAAAGTAAATTTTGACTTCTGACTTTCACCAAACCAGTTAGTCAACTCTGATTAAATATTGGACACTTGCATTCTCTATCTAAATTTATGAACCACAAAAAAAAAGAAAATATGTCAGGTTTTCCAAATTGAAGTTATCTATAA